ATAGTCAATAAGTAAAAAATAAAAAAAAGAAGTTTCTAAGGAAGTCAGAAAAGAAAAGGAAAGGGCCTCGTCACGGGTCATATAAAAAGGAGACGATAGTGCCCCGATGTTCTTTATACACATCGCTGTCACCACAAACTCAAGGACTGGTCCAAGGGGCGACGGAGGTGAAGTCCTGCTGAATGAGTGAATGATTAGATCCTGGTTTTGAGGGGGCAGCGGTAAGGTCTTCGAGGAAGGTTAAATACCCGATTGATGAGGTTCATGGCGACGGGGTGAGGGGCGGGGTCAGCACACCACGACCCATTCGTATAGATGACTACAATAGGTTAGTAGGAGTTGGCATCGTAGAAGAGGGTGTGCCCCACGAAAGGATGGTATGCATGAGAACGCCGACGCCAGGCGGGCGCGACGCGCCCGGTCAATGTCAGCGCGGTCATCGTCCACGTTCCAGGATTTTAGAAGCTTAAGGTGGGCCATTTTGTTCTTTCTTTCGTCGTATTGTTTTGAATTGGTTCCAGTGGGAGGAGTCCTTTTGTCTATGACATTGGGAGGGGTGTCAGATTAGGTCTTCTCGTCGAGTAGCAGGGAATTTAGGGAGAGGCGGACAAGAAAAGCTAGCTTTTCGTTGTGATGTTAATGCAGATGAGTGTTTCTCGTGATGCGAAGCACGAAGATGCCTTCTACACTTTTAAGGACGCAGGCTTTTTTTTGGGGGGGGAGGGGAGGGGGGGGGTTCTAACCACCTGAACCTCCTTCGGTTGCATTACTGCCCTGGCTTAACCCTTATCCGGGCAAGGTAAAAAACGAACGCAACTGGGCGAGGGGGTTCCATTGGACCCCCTATTACCTTAACTATATAGTGGGGGAAAACAGAAGGCAAAAACACGCTTACCACGAGGCAACGCCTTTCTTTTATTGATTCTGATGAATTTCAAAAGTAATGCGACATTTTTTTGCATCACAGACTTTTTTTTCACCCCAGGTAAAATTTGGATGGTAAAACTAAGGTTAACGAAAAAAGGGGAAATTTCCCGATTTTTTTTTGCTTGCTTCAGCCTGAATTCCACCGCTACCGAATTTCACCGCGATATTTTACCGCATTCTTACCTGTAATTAACTTCAGTTTCATAGTTCCCCTCTTTCTCATCGGTGTTTTTTTCTTTAAACTGTGGTTTACCAGCACTTTCATTTACCTTTCACCTGTAATTCACGATTTGTTACCTTCGGGGTACCTTTTACATCCAATTTATCCTCTCTTTTTACACTTGGTGTAATGTTCACCTTATATGATTGGAGTAACATTAATCCTGTTGTTATGAATAAAATAGGTTGATGTGGTCCCAGACCAAGAATAAAAGCTTGACTTACAAGAAAATCACATCATGGAATTGTTGCAAACATTTATCTATGAGGTATATAAGCTTACGGCTCCGCGGTCTGATCATTAGTCTCAGATTTCTGAATGCATTTTTGCATTAGACCATTCTGAGCTTCATAATCAAAAGCCTATAGACAAAGAGACAAGCCTAGCCTAACGCGAAAAGAAACAAGTAACAACACAACGTGAAGGAAATTTTTCTGATGGAGCCGAACCAACACTGGGCGAGACCGACTTGACGTCATTACTATGCTATACCGAACCACATGAGGAATAACGTTATTCCAGCGCGCCCCACAAGGATGAAAAAGACAAAGTGCAAATGTGCTAGGCAGCATTCTTTTGGGATTACCCGAATTTCACCTTAGCGACTCGTCTCTTCGGAAGATCCTGCTTGGGGAAGAATCCTTTCCCCTGAGCCTAAGATGAAATAGGGATTCCCCTCATTCCTCCCATTTTTCCTCTTACTTTAGTTGTCAGAAGGCGCTTCAAGCAGAGAGCATTTTCTCCTGCTTAGGTGAAAAATCAGTGGAAATAAGGGGGAATCAAGGGATAACATTTTGAATGTGTGCATGAAATGTAGTATGGATCCCATGATCGGTCCCTTACCCGGTTACGTTACTCAAATAAAAAATAATAATAATTTCTCCCTCACTTTTAGAAAATTTTCAGGATGATGATGTTCTGGCACCAGGGTCTCCTCGACTTGAAGGACAAATCCTGAAAATTACAGGAAAATGTTTGCAATGGTATGAATTAGAAGAATTGAGGCCTTGGGGTCCAACGGAACCCCCTTGCCCAGATAAGGGTTGAAGTAGCACGGGAATCTGAAGAGTGCATTCAATTTCTCGGAGACCTTGTCGATTTACACCGCGTTTGCTGCGCTCTGTGTTCCTTTTCTTAGGTTGTCGTACCGACTCGATCGAATAGATGGCAGTCTACTCCATTAGCAGATTTTGTGGCGTTTACTTTGTCTTGCCATATATATGCAGCTTGTGGTTACTTTTCGTACGTTCCATGGAGACGATATCCAGAAGTATAAACTTTTTTTTTCTCTCCTCTAAGTTTCAAAGTAAGCTTCTCAATGCCTCGAATGGGTTCAGGACTGAATTGTATACAGTACTATGTTTCCTCGGGAAAGAACTCTCACCGACGCTCGACAACATGGACACATTCGTTGGAAAGATACGCTAATTTTTTTCAAAACTAAAAATGGAATGGTATTGGTAACCAAAATGGAACAAAACAAATAAAAAAAGAGAAAGAAATTAAAGTCCATGTCAAATGAAACAAAATGTATAATGGAACAAAATAAAAATGAGAAAAATCTATGAAAGGAAGAAATAGTAATAATCATTATCAAAGTACAAGTTCGGAAGGTCGGGAAGCTGAAACAGTCACGCTGAAGGAGGAACAGATTTCGAGAAGTTATCTGTTTCACTCCTGGTGCAAGCAAAGTGGATTGTCTAATAGTCGAAGTAAAACATAAGCAACAATAATATGCATAGTTGCTTGAAATTAATATTTGTATAGAAGCACTTCAATATTACTTCCTTTTTTAATTCCTTTGAAATGAATGAGAGGCAAAAGGGACCTTTTCGACTAAGGACTGACGTCAGAGGGGTCATTAGATGAATCTGGAATACGGCAATGAGAATGTCTTCGGCCTTGGCCCGATTGGAGCACGAGGTCGAGAGTTATCTGTCAAAAACTGCATTAACATGTTGAGGTCGGAAAAAGTTGTTTCAGAAAAGGCAGGAGGCCTAGTGAAGTGCAATCAGGGCCGGATTAAGAAGTTGGGGAGCCCATGGCAAGTGGACTCTTGAGGCTACCCCCCCCCCCCCCACCCCTCCCCCCCTTGGTACTTATGCAAATATTTAACGCTTTTAATTTCCTTCGGGGCTCCCCCTGGAAGAGTGGGGCCCGGGGCAATAGCCCCCTTTGTCCCCCCCCCCCCTTAATCCGGCCTTGGGTGCGATTGTATTAAATTCAGAGTTCAAAAATTATATATTTGTTTTAATCTCAATGAATATTCGAATCTCTATCTTTCATAATGTATTCACAACATGTCATTTGAAAAGCGTTTACAACTCGTCCCAAGGAGTTACACCATAACATGCTGACAGTGATTGATGTTGCGTGGATTGAGGCATATCTTCTGAACACTCCTGACTTCACGGAGTCTTCGACTAAAGCAGGCAGAGATGTATCCAAGGATGTTCCCGACCCAACCCAAATTTTTGGATGCATCCAACTCCTTTGAGGGTTCGAAATGACCGGAGCTACTAACGTTGGGAATGGGTGACACTTGGCACCAATGTGACATCAGATTAGTTTACGATAAACAGATTTGGTGCAAGCCATCCGAAATATTTGATCTTCACAAATCGAGACTCGGGCTGCGTCTACAGATCCCATCCACGAAAACAAGGAAAAGAAAAGGAGAGAGAATGTATCCCTGACGGAGTCCAACGCTTTCCGAGAAAGAGTCCTTCTCCCATCCCACTCCCTCGGACGCAACTCGTGTACTCCCTGTATGATAATGGAATGACCCGCATTAGTTGCCTTTACTCCCATGCTCCTGCAGCAGCCTCCGCAACTTTCCCACGATCGTACGTCATTCCTACACCCACATAGTACATGTACATGTAAACCTGTTCGGCGCACTCCCAATCCCTCGCGTGAACCCGGTGGAAAGTGAGGAGCTGGTGGGTGGTGCTGTGCCCTTCGCAAAATCCGCGCTGCTCCTCCCCGATGGTTTCAAGGATTGTTCGAGTGCCTTTCTAGCATCGTTGCGTAGACATTACCTGGTGTGTTGGTGGAATCACCACACCGGTCTGCCAGTCCGTTCGCGATTCTCATATGGATCGACATACCCCATCCAAACACGAACAGTCACCGGTGCCCATTGCTATCAGTGCCTCTGATTTAAAAACGGCAGATCAGTTGCAGTTCTTTTGCAGTTACAGTTGGAATTTTGTCACGAAGTATTTGGAAGTACACGGTGGAACTGCGGTCGGATCGTGGTCCTTAGACAGGAAATCAACGCAGGATCTGAATACTTTTTATTATTATTCAATAGGAGTTTCACTTAGCTCATATGGAAAGCTCTCGAAACGAAACCCTAACTATAACTGTAACTGAACTGCCTTTTTGAAATCAGTCCCTGCCTGAATCTCATCCTCCCCAGGGGAATTTAAAATTTTCTATTTTGTGTTTTTAACTAGAGTTGGACAATTTTTCTCTTGGCTCAGACACTCATGCATGAGGAACGTCCTGCACATGTGTCCGAGTCAAGTGAAAAACATTCTCAAACTTCCTCCATAGCGAGAATACTCTCCAGGCAGGTAGGCTTGTATTATACTATCACTAACGGTGTCCGGCGTGCCAGATAGGATGCGATTGAGTGTTTATCTAAAGTCGCTAGTCCTCATCGAAAGCATATTGATGACGTCAGGCTGGAAATATTTTTTTTTCCTCCCACAATTGTGCCGTATTTCAGGCTAATGAGGGTAGCACCTAAATGTCGCCAAAACTCACCTAAAATTTGCTTTCCAGCAAATTTTAGGAATTTGCTGGAGGCAGCAGGAAAATCCGAATCATGAAATTTCTCTATTGCCAGGAACATCTGCAGCCATCGAAATCGAAGACGCCATTTGGTCCTTTTCCTCCCTCCTATCGGTGCCATTGACACATCTAACTCTTGAGTCTTCTCTTTCGGGCTTGCAGCGATGAAGGCTCTGGGAACGGTAAAGCCCTTATTTTCAAAACTATCCCCCCAAAAAGTTGAACAGTATTTATTATACCTAGTGTGATCATTCCCCCCGTAGCTGCACGAGTATAAGATCATCGGCAGGAGGTACCCGAGCGAGAAAGAAAGGAATCCTCCTCTCTATCGGATGCGAATTTTTGCTCCCGACTATGTGACAGCCAAGTCCAGGTTCTGGTATTTCCTTCGCAAGTTGAAGAAGCTCAAAAAGACGAACGGGGAGGTCGTTTCCTTGGAAAGGGTGAGCTTTTAACTTGACGTTAGGCTATACCAATTCTCCAGTCTCGTTCTATCATGAACTGCGCAACCCCTGCAAACTTTTTTCATTGTTAACTCCATTGATTCAGCTTGAAAGTGTATGATGCTTATGCTTGTCAAGGCATGGTGTGAATGGGTTGCATTTTTAAGAGTTTTGCTTCACACTTAGGCTTGCTAGTAGCTACTGAACACAGACTCCATCATAGATCGAGGGCCCAAGCGTCTAGGGTAAAGCTTTATGGAGTGGATCCAGGAACGAAGGCTTAGCCTAAATACATGCTTAAAGTTAAAGGTTTATGTTAATGGTAGGCCTTCACCCTTGACTTCATATGTAACCTCATCAACACTGTTGTCACCAATGCATTACACTATTTTCTCAATATTGGGACAATGGTCCACTCCTAAAACACTTGTGATTTGTATCACATTATACAGGGATCCTTCAATGCATATGCATGAGGCAGATTTTTGTTCTTTATATCTGTACCTTTATATCTGTTCTTTATACCTGAGACATATCCATCACTCCTTTTGCCATAGTTGAAGATAAGGAAACTATGTGGTCCAAGTGCAAAGTTTTCCAGATTCCAACCTGGGCCCATGAGGTCTCTCTATGGAGCACATAATTAGTCTCACATTTGTGTAGGTGACAAAACAAGTGCCATGAAATGTTGAAGAGGCTTAAGGTTTATTGCAACTTCAAAGTTAGGGCTATGCTACATGCTCTTAATTCACTGTTTGCCCAGGACCTATGTGCCTTAAACTGTGTTATATTGGAGACACTAGAGGAGGGTGCTTGAAACACTATGTAGGCTTGATACCAAAAGGCCTGAATTGAATATATAAAGTGAGAACCCCATAAAAGTGCTTATTCCACATATGCTAGGTAGTATTCACTGGCTTGAAGGTAAAAGGTGGTAGAAATTCATTTGTATCTTTCTGTATACATGGGCCTAGAAGATGCAAGCAGTTGTCCAGGTCCTACTGCATGATTTAGGAGAATGTAGTGAATCTGTAAGCCAGTACTTGGTGCTGTGAGAAATCAAGTTCTGTTATCTGGTAAGGTGACCAAAGGAACCATTTAAACAAGACCTTTGAGAGCTTGGTCACCATGATGTCAAATAATTATCAGAATTTTTGTACTTTGGAGCTGGTTCTGCCTATATGGCTAGATACTGTGTAGTCATTAGTGAATAGCTCAATCTATTTACTTAAATGTGTGCTCTGGCATGTGCTTATGGCTATCAACAGTTGATCTGCATTATTGGTAGTCCTCTCCATGAAAGTCAATTGGGGAGTGGTCTGGCCAATGTTTAGAGAACCATGCAGAGAAATCAACTGAGAGTTCCACGGGGTGGTGTTATGACCATGAACATCACTAAAAAGACTCTCTTTCATCTATTTTTACTGCTTGGAAATTGACTCCATTCATATGACTACTTTTGACTCAGTATAGAGAATGCTTTCATGGTGTTTTGGGTTTTGTAACTGATGGGTAAATGAGCTGACTATGTGGATAATACATAGGTTCATGAGAGGAAGCCCTTGAAAATCAAGAACTATGGGATTTGGCTCCGCTACGATTCCAAGTCGGGAACTCACAACCAGTATCGGGAATATCGAGATCTAACCGTTTCTGGAGCTGTGACCCAGTGCTATAGAGACATGGGGGCTAGACACAGGGCTCGTGCATCCACTGTGCAAGTGAGTCTTATCCACTATCCTTTGTCTTTTCAAGTTCTAGCAATATTTATTTAGTAGAATCTGCAATAAATTTTACCATCAGTTTATTTACTAAGTGACAACTTTGCTCTACGTCTTCCATGTTCTGATCTACTAAGGAGAATGAGGTCTGAGTGCAGAAACCTCATTTAGGGGTGGTAGAAGAACCTTTAAGCTAAAGAGAGCTTTTTTGCCCATAGGAGCCTTGTATTCTTAAAGGACTGTTAACTATGAGAGATTTCAGCATTTGGGCCCAAGTATTTATGCTAGTAGTTTTTTTTTTGCTTTTCATCTTGCTACCTGTGTATTTCTTTGGTTAGCTCTATTCTTTCATGCACCCAACCAGGCTAGGGTATCTACAAGAGGATTCCCTATGCTAGACAGTGGTGCTAGATCATGATCTGATTGCCTAGATATTCGATTGCTTGACCTTTCAGTCATGTAGTCTTTTTGGATGGATCAGCCACTTGAGTCTTTACATTTTTACTGTAGCTAATGGCTAAGTGATCTTAGTATTTCATAACCCTTACTTTCTCCTGTTCATTTATAGATTATGCGGGTGGAGGAAGTTAAGGCCAGCAAATGCAGGCGCCCTCAGGTCAAGCAGTTCCACAACAGCAAGATCAAGTTCCCCCTTCCTCGCTCTTACAAGCGGGATACCAACCTCAAGCCTTTTACCACCAGGAGGCCCAAGATCAACTTCTTGGCTTGATCTGGTTGAGAAGTCCAAAATATATCTCGTGTGAAACGTCAAGACCTTGTTGTTTTTTCACCCATGGAAAAGACAGGATGCAGCTTGTTCAAGAAAAATTGTTTAATTAGTCAAGAAGACTGTTTAGACATGCATGAATCACTTAATCCCAATTCCGTTGCAAGGGATGGGAAAAACAATATTGTTTATCCTTCAACATCTGCTTTGCAATGCCCTCAAATTGCAGGTCCTTATTGCCATATGGTGCAACGTCAAGCTCATCCATCCATGTAGTAAGTTGGTCTCTCACCATGTGTGCAAAAGCATTAGCCACAACCAACTGCATGGAAAAAGTTGTGATTAAAAAGTTGACAACCCATACACACTGAAAGACAGGCTTCACTCACCTCAACATTTGCATGTCTTAACCCAATGCAATAGGATCTGGAGGCCCGTGCCAGGACAGCTGTGAGGGCATGTAGATAAATTATGCAGTCAGCCATACGTCTTAGCAGCATCTGTCTCTGTGGGATATATGCTCCATGCTCAATCAATACATGTTCAATTACTACTGGGAATCGAAGCACCAGGCGTTCCAATATTTCTGCCTCTGGCTGCAAAGAAATGTGCTGTTATCAAAAAGGAACACAAAAAAAAAAGAATTGACGGAATAGCAGTAACCTTCAGTGTGGGATGAATGTGGCCATAGAGATGCATTTTGAGCTTGATGTTGTCTTTATTAAATCGTATGGACTCCCATAAGCCACGAAAATTCTTCTTCATGTAAATTGATGGATTATCATAAGGGTGCCTCATCACCTTGACCAGAGCTTGCATTTCCTTCCCTGCATACTCCAATCCTAAGAGAAGGGGGAAGTTCCTGTTAAGTGCTGCCAATCAACCTCTGTACATTTAATGGATGGGTCTCATGCAATCCACTAAAACATGTCACCTTTCAGTCCGATATACAGACGAAGAATGTCATTTGCTCCACCGTGGTGATGGTGACAGTATGAGTCTCTTAGGTACTGTTCATAACCTTCCTTGGGTGAGCAGCTCTTGCTACCCAAGAGAACTAGGCATTCTGACAAGCAGGACCACATTTTTTCTGAACTGAACACCTAAAAGCAAAATTTCCACAATCAGAGAAAGATAATAACTGGAAGTCAAAGTAAATCAGATGGCTCAAACTTTGGTAGCAGCACACTCCATTTGAGTATCTGGGTATTCTCCAGAGTCAGTCATCCCGGCAGTGAGGTAAGCCATACTTTCAACTGCATATGTCCACACAGCTAACTTTCCAAGATGCTCCCGAACCATGTCAAAGTCTGCGACTGTCTGCCCAAATGCCATGCGGTCAATGCAGTGTCTTATTGTCTTTGTTAAGAGGCCTCTCATTGTTGCTGTGGAGGATGTGCATCAAGCAGTCATGATTAATCTACTTGATTCATGAATGATCAATGACCAATCCTTTCAAACTTTCACTTACCTGCAACTTGTGCAGCAGATGCACACCGGAAGTTTGCAAGGGTTTCAAAGGCAATCTCATTCCCATCGAGAGTATCACCCAAAAGGTGTTCTACTGGGACATGAGCTTTATTGAAGGTGATATTCTGTATTCCAGCACCTCGTAAGCCAGCGGAAGGGCATGGGCTCAAAGCCACTGCTTCACTTTTTTCCACCAGGATTGCTGATGTGATATCACAGGGATTGTGGAGTTCATCTTTGTCCTATTTGTGAACAATAACATCATTCCAATGCTAAATTATACATGAAAAAATAAATGCAGTGATTGTATCTGGGAAGGCTTGTATACCTGGATACGGACAAACACCAGGAAGAGATCAGCTTTCTCAGCATTGATGACCCATATCTTCTTACCAGTAACATCAAAGAACTTTCCATCCAATGTTTTGGCAGCCCGAGCATTCAACATGGTTGTGTCACTGCCACCTGTCTCTTCTGTAAGACACCATGCAGCTGTCAACTGACCTGATGCTAAGCGAGGTAGATATTTCTGTTTTATCTCAGCACTCCCATATTTATTCACTGCCTGCCAGAGAGCAAAAATATGAGGCAAAGCACTTCAAAGGATTATGACATACAGAAATGGAATTAGGAAAGAGGACCTGGATGACCATATTGTTGCTTGCATTAACAATTCCAGCCACTGATGCATCTGACCCTGTAAACTCAGCCACCAAGCATTGTTCCATAGCATTCAATCCAAGGCCTCCATAATCTTCACTGACAGTACCACCAAGTATCCTCTGGTTCTTTAGCTCCTTGAGTACAGAGTCCGGCACAGTTCCTTCTGCATCTGTCCGCCTGGGATCAACTATAAGGGGTGGAGCCAAAGAGGGGCAAGAGTTCATTTATACTGTCCCAGAAAGGTGAATCACAAAATTTGAGTATATTTCCTGCATGAGAGAAGGTAACAGAAAGATAAAATTTGGTACTATTTGAAATCATTAATTTTCTATACAGTGCCCCAGTAGTACAGTATATTGGGCTGATATTGGTTTGACATACCAGTGATTTTCAATCACTGGTGGGAGTACCAGTAGGAGCACTTCTAGCTTTTCTCACTGGTATGCTACTATTTAAAAAATATTGCAAATAAAAAAAGGGGATGGGGGCAGAGATCTAGCTATAGATTATTCATGACATCCCAGTGTTCTAGCATACTCAAAATTTCAATTTGCCTCAACAGTTAATGTAGGGTACAGTCAGGATCTAGTTCTGGTAATCTGGTACAGTTGTTCTTGTCTCATCTACTTCCTTGGTTGAGAAGGAAGGCATTCTATGACGCAAGCCCAAAAAAATTATTCTAGTATATTCTAGCATGGAAGGCCCAATTGGTCAAGAAACTACAAGGTAACTGGAGAATAGTATGCCTGTGCAGTACATAGAAAAAGCACAAAAAATTAGGGAGGTTTATCAAATAGCATGGGCAATTCTAGAGTGTTTTCATTTGAAAAGAAATTCTTTCATTTGACTCATACATATAAGCATGGGAAGTGCAAAATGAATTGAAGATGTAAAGAGGGCTAAAATCATCCCTATGAATACAGTAGGATACATAGGACTTTGACATGGGTCTCAGTATTATGACAGCTAAATCCAAGGAGGGGGGGGGGGGGGGGGGGTTGAAGAGAAGTTCAGTGCCATACCAATGGTGGTTGTCTATATGCCTAACTTCATATGCAAACTTTAGAGCAGTTCTCGAAGGTAAGGTAATGGCTTGAACTCTTTACATTCCCCCACCTCCTTGCATTCTGAATGTGACTACAGTGTCATGAACTGACGTGTTCATGCCTAGACTTATGAAGGATTTTATGTTCACAGTGTAGATTACATCTCTGAAGTGTATTTAAAAATGCAAGAAGTCAATTCAGGTCCACAATATATCCTCACCTGCATCCATGAGGCTTTTGAGCGCAGGGGCAATGGCCGCATTGAAATTCTTCTGCCTGGCTTTATTTAACTCAGGGAAACCCAACACGTCCTTGTCGAAGCGTCCAAGGAACAGGTTCTTGAGGAAAGGAGCCCTCGCTTTCTTTTCTTCGGACAAGACAGGATCTCTCTGCTGATCGTGGGTTACCTCCTGTTCTTGTTGAGCCGACTCTTTCCGGCTCTCCGTGGACACAACACGAAAGGATTTCTGGTAAAACCGACTCGTCCGGGGGAGGATGGAGGAACTCCTCCAAGTGAGATTCATTGTAAATAAATGTTTTCGAAAGATGGGTTGGCTTATCTTCGCCCGAAACGCTATGGTGAAACTCAGGTCAGAAACCTAGAGAGACAGAACAGATCATGCTGTACACGGTCGAGCAGACGACAGTCTGGCAGTGACCAGTGCTGCCAGATTCGCCCTCGAATACCTTCGAGATTATGGGGGTTGCAACCGTCCAGAATAGGTACAGGTTTGCAACTATAACACCAGTCTGTGACATTAGATAAGCCGCAATTTGTGACCTCGGGTTAAGAACCAAGACCGAAGTGACAAATGTCTCGTTGCTAGAGCGGAAAGCGTCACTGGTAGTCGATGGCGGCGCGCGAGTCACATGTCGAACAAGAGCAGTCTGGCGCTTGAGTGCAAGGAGGGGGATGTCACTGAGGTGAGATCTGCGCGTTTTGGCGTAAGGAATGAGAGATACGTCGACGTTGATGTAGCGCTGGGGGCTTGCAGTCGGTCGTTGGAACCGAGGAAATGGATTATGTTGGAATGATTGAGTAGATTCAATTTGAGTTTGGAGAAGACTAGGTAGGCGCGGATCGAGATTTAGCGCAAACACCACATGACTTCAGAGCAGAATGAGCAACTCATCATACGCCCTGCACAAAGTATCTAGGTTCATGGAAGTTTTCCCTAGGAAGAATGTGGTTGCTTTCACCTACGGTTCTGGAGTCTTTCAGCAGGCCAATCGACCCACTGCAGAGGTGAGCGTTCTGTTTATGCCTGAATCTACAGACCTAACCTGTTGTGCTGTCAGAGGCATTCAGTTTTTTCATTCTTTTTTTTTCTTCTGAAAATGAGAGAACGTAAGAGTGCAAAAAGCACATGTCTCACTGGCAAGGCTAGTCTCAAGGGGAGTAAAATGTAAATTTCTGAACTTTTAATTCTGAAATATAAGTACTACTTTTCCTGAAACATGATATGGAGGGTTGACTCTCAGGAAGGTGAGTGGATGGCCATTCACTTGGCAGTTTTAATTACTTTGGGAGAGTAAAATTTAAACTACAATCAATAGCATGATGAAAAGACTCATCAAAGCTTGCCATTATTAAGGTGATGCTATTAGTGCCACAGAAAGGGCTTATGAATGCGTTTGCTGACCATTACTGCATATATTAGGTTAGTATCATATATTGGTGAAATTTCTTGTCTATTATATTGACTTATTTATAGTCTACTTCTTGCCAGGAAATGCCTGAATATACAGTACTTGATTTCTTTCAGAAAAATATGGTTGATGTGATAATTGCTGTTGACAATGCCAAGCTGTGGCATGAAGATAATGTGAGAAAAAATCCATCCCACTACTCTTTCCTGAAGTATTTCGGGTCATCATTTATTGAAACAGTTCAGCATGCTTGGGGAGCAAAAGTGTACTTCAACACACTGGTCCGTTTTGAAGACATGGTGAGTGCCTTCTCACACTTGGCATCTTATCTATCCTGCATCCTCATAGCATCCAGCATAAAATCAGGTCTTTGAATTTTCAGACATTCAAGTATGGTGTGGTGACACATGAAGACTTGCTGATGGATCTCTTTGATTGGGACACCCTCTATCTCAGTGGACGACTGCACAAACCAGTCCACTTCCTCTATCCTGTAATGGATCGGACTCTCACTCAAGCACTAAGGCTCAATCTGGAGAGTGCTGCAAGAGCAGCTCTCATCAAACTCCCTGCTGCTTTTTCTGAAAGGGAGTTCTACCATAGCATTGTTGGACTGTCCTATGGAGGTTCTTTACCCTTGTACCTTGTAAATGGCAGGAAAGTTCAAACATGAATGACATGAAAAGAGATCTATATTAATCACCCACAGGAGACTTCAGGATGATAGTGGGAGAAGACAAGAATAAAGTCAGCAACATAGTTGATGGGCAATTTGAGGACCTAAAGAACCTCTATGATCCAATTGTGAAGCACTTCAATGAATGGATGGAGATCTCAAAAGGCCAAGGCTTCCAAGATGTCAGCAGCTTAGCTAGACTTCACCACCTCAACCTTCTTCCCAAAACAGCTCAGGTATCAGGTGTGGAGACATCTAAAATCTGGCCCCCCCCCCCCTTTCATTCACTGAGTTTGTGACATTACATTGTAGACATTCTGTTCATGCTGCAATGGATTTTGCATAACACTCAATCTTCCTAGAACAGCAAACCACCCATCCTTTTTTTTTTATCAATGAAGAACTGTGATTTTGGAATTGAGTCAAGCTGTCTCATGTATGTCTGTGCAGTTGGAGTTGATGAAGGAGATCACTAAGGATGGAAGGCATCGAGACATAGAGGAAGTCCTCCGAGCTGTGGCAGCCGAAGTTGACTGTGGAGAGGTTCTTGATGCTGGTAATGTTGTTTTACACTTTTGAGAGCATAGATAAAATCATTGGTTACAGTGACTGGTGAAGAGCTATTTTAAACAGTACCTTCATGTTGATTAAATCATTACCATGTGCCAGCTTCAGTGGAGTCCGTTTGCTTTCCACAGCACTTCAGCGCATTGTGCAGAGGTCAAGCCTGACCCAAAGCCTCAAGGGGATTCTCACTGCTGGTGCTTACAAGTCTATGATCTACTCTCATCGTAAGATGAAGAAGTGGTGGGCAAGTCGAAGGAAAAAATATGCTAAAACAGCTATCTCCACCCAAGGCAATAGTTGATAGTCTTTATTTGTTGCATCCTTCATTTTCAACCTCTAACAATAATATATATATATATTATTCAATTCTGCAATGGCATAAACTTCATTCCAACAATTGCAGATCACCATTCAATTTCAAGAGAAAATGACTCCTGAGCCTCAACAGTAGAGATCAACAATGCTAACACATTCCTGGCTGGGATCCAGCTATCAACTCAATGCAGAGTGCCATCAATAAAACTAACACAATAACATAAAATCCTGAAGCAATCACAACTCATACCAATCATGCATAAGTTTTGTGGAAATGAACACCATCTTGAGATAAAGTTGATATGCTCCTCTCAAAGGGAAATTCAGTCTAGGAATCAAAAGTAGTGACTTTTCTGTGGAATGTTGATAATATTTTGACTTTAAGGAGCACGTGAACCTTTATAAAACACTGGTACATGTAGGGCACCTGGCCAATGATTTATATTGGCAAGAGAAAAGAAAGTTCATGGCATTCTTTCTGCAAAACATGGGAGTAATTCTTCAATGGAAAATTGTCTGATGCACCTGCAGCAACCCAGTATTTTTAGGTTTTGTGCAAGGAAAAAAATAATGAATTTATAAAGCACAATAATTGGCATATTGAATGCAATCAGTGCAAAAATATAGGAGGGAGAGTGAATCTGATTCTTGAAAACCTGCCTTTTTTGAGAGAGACTTGGGGTGACAATGGGTATGAACACTTTAATTGAGGTTCACAGGTTATTGAGTGCATTCTGAGGTGGAGAAAGAAGGTGATGAAATTCCTTGAGTGCATCTTTCAAGGCAGCAGAGACTCTAGGCTCCTGGATGTCAATGCAATCCACCAGATGTGGGTAGACATCAATGATTTGTTGCCATGTTCCAGATGAAACTGCAATAATATGACTCTTGATGCATCCAAAACTATTCCATTTAGTTTCTCAAGAATGATTGATGATGCAAACCTTTCTTAGGAGGAGCCTTTCTAAGAGATGAGAGCAAGGCACAGAGAGCTTTCAAGACCAACTGGACTTCAGTTGTCCTTTGCCTGTAATCAAATGAAATCATTACTGATTGCTTTGTTGGGTACTTAAGCAATATCTTTAGTTAGATAACATTACTACATAGATCACTGACCTTGGCAAAGGACATTTCCCACTAAGGTGACAATCTTGAACAAATTTCTCAAGCACCATGTGGAACCGGGAGACAAGGGATGTGATGGCCAATTTGTTTGTCAGATTCCCCTCTTCAATGATGCTGCTTGCATGCTCACTGAGCAGTGAAAACTGCAGCAGTGTCTCAAAGCACATCTTTGCAAACTCCTCTTTCAGTCGAGGCATTGACTCACATTCTATGAATTTATATGACACCTCTTTCATAGAGTCACTCACAGGACATCACTCTAGAGCAGTGTTTCTTAAACAGTGTGCCACAGCACACTGGTGTGCCGCCAGTAAGGCTTAAGTGTTCTGTGAGATTTGAGAGCTGACAAAAAAACTAAAAAACTATAACTAAAAAAACTTATAGTTTTTTAGTTTTTTTGTCAGCTCTCATGATGGCGTTCCCTCCAGTTTTAACTATAAAAAAAACTTGAAACTGGAGGGAACGCCATCTCTCAGTGGAAAACGAGCTGAGAGTTGCACTACCATGCCTCGTATCAAACTGCTGTGTTCAGTGAAGCAAGCACAAGTTCCCCATCGAAAGGAAGTAAATGGATGGGTGTGCCATGGAAAGTTCAAGTGTCCTTATGTGTGCAGCAAATAAAAAAAGATTGGGAACCACTGCTCTAGAGAATGCAATAAAGTGCTACACAATACCAAAAAGATTGGGAGCTGAGTGGATGGATCCATTATTGAGCAAGAGCATGATCTTCACTAGGAAGGCCTTTGGGGTCAAATCAGCATTTGGGAGGATTTCCTCTCGGATGAACTCTATCACTTCACAGTCCAGCAATTCATCTGTGGCAGAATTCCCCGCTTGGGATGTTCGCCCCTCACCTGAGTCAGGATGGCCTGGTCTAGATAAAAAAAAGAAAGAATTCCAACTGTGATGGTGTTCTGCAACATATAGCATGTGAGTCTAGGATGAGTCTCACTCTGGTGTGAACAGGAAGGCCTCAAAAACCTGTGGGACAAGCTCCCAAATTTTCTCACTATCATTGGAATGTTTCCATGCCAAAGGTAGGCCAACCTTGAGAGACTGCAAGAGGATGTTTAGAGCCAGTCTCCACAGAGAGGGAGAACCACAGCTGTACTTCCGGGACAAAGGCACTTGCAGTGTCTGCAATTAAATCCACCAAATTAGGTATTGCAACATAATATAAAGAATGATGAAGATTAAATCTGAAAAACATGGTTAGACACAATGGATTTTGAAAAGATTAAAAAAATTATTTCAAAAGAACTAGGGAATAATGACTTTAGCACTCAATAAGTAAACTAATTCATATAGATATTGACCACCACCAGTATCACTGATGGTAGAATATTTTGCTATTATAACAGTTACAAAAACAGACATCTTCAGGATCCATTGTGCATGCTTCATTAGCAAAATATATACTTCTAGAATCTGTCCTCAACACGATTATGTGTGCATAACATACAAGAAGTTTAAATTATTTCATTTTACCACTCAAATTTTCCAGAGCTTCTGGGTGGGAATGGAAGTGAGAGGGATTACACAGTCCTTGGGCTCCAAATCTCAATCAGAAAGGAAACCCATTACCATGGGTTTCCTTTCTGACACAAAGTTCTTCCAGCTCTTTCTGGGAATATTTTGTTCCTTACCAATGTTTTTTTTTTCATTCTTTTTCAAGGTCAAGCTTCATTGAAGTTTTAATTTCACCTCTGGACAGATCTCAGGATCCAACATACAAACATATGTACTAATAGGGGTGGGGTAGATACCCTTTGAGGGATCTTTGAAAGTTGAGGGTAAGAAGATTGGTTTTGCCTTCTCAATAAGCCATGGATTACCCCATCTGTTTTCACAACATTGGACAGATAATGAAAAAAAAAATTATTTGCTGTCCCCCTGACCCAAGGCTTCTTGCTGTACTTCTGCATACAGGTATTACAGTATTTTTCCTGTCAGTTAGACACTTTTTCACTAGACTTCTACACCCATGCACAAGGAATGTCCCATGCACATGTGTCTGAGTTAAGTGAAAAATTGCCTAACACAAGAGAAAAACACTGTAAAATTAGGTTGGGAAGGAAGACATCAAGATGAAATTGTTTTCACGCAGTACTTCAATGATGGACTCAAGGATATGAGCCTGGATCACAGAGGGTCGCTGAGCTGTCTTCTTGTAAACATCTAGCTCCATTGTCAGAGCTTTCTCACCAAAAGGCACCTGATTCATGGTCACCCACTCACTCTGCAAAAAAAATTTTTATGCTTTATTAATCCACTGCATAGGGCATGGAATGAAATGCTAGAGATCATGCTTACTGAGACACCCTTGATCTCTGTAACCGGTCTGGTTGGGAGGGAGCCGAACAGAGGGATGTCACATGCCATCATGCCAAATCTAAGGAACTGCCTATGCAGCAGAGGGAGGAGCTCAGACCATTTGTTCTCCTTGCTGCTTAGTGATTCCTGTTCCATCATGATAAAGTATGTCAATTTCTTTTATAACAGCAAGGAAAAATCTGTTCCCTAATAGTGAACCTCTTTAAAGCATATAACTGACCTGAAGCAGGAGATCCATTCCCTGGAGGATGGCATCCTGAAGTGGAGTTAATACTGCATCCGTCAGGAAGGGAAGGATAAAGGCTGACTGTTCCCCATGAACAGGTACATGAAGCGTTCCTTCCATGACGGCACACAGTCGCTCCAGATCTCCTGCTTTGAATCTGACACAAAATATGGAAAACAATTTTCAGACCAAAATTTGTATCATGTTCCTGTTACACAAAGTGCACCTGCAAGAACCAACTATATACTGTACATTATGAGGAAAATTCAAAGTTTCAAGCCCAAAGCACTTTTGGTTGCAATACACATAATTTCCTTTTCATAGATTTTGAGAAACACCTTAATAGTTGATTGGGAAAGTTTGATCACATTTGGTGATGATATTGGTGATGGTGATGGTGTATTTGATAGTGCTACCAATAGGACTTTTGAAAGAACATAAGATATTGAAGGGATACATTTTCTCACCTCAAAGGGGGCTATCTGACATTTTTGAGCAGAGGGCTGTCCCTTCAGCTGCTCAAAAATATGCAAGGGGATTGCCCCCTCCAGGATGAGAAAATTCATTGACCTCATCTTCACAATATTTCAAGCAAAAATCCATGCTGTTTCCTCAAGGTAAGCACGCTAGAATTTATTGTATGACTCACTCTTCACGTATATTGGAGAAGAGAAGCGGGAAGATGTGCATGAGGGCTGTGAGATATGTCTGTGTGGGAACAAACAGCTCCTTGGCTGAGTTCTCCTTCAGTTCCTCATCTGATGGAGGTTTGGTTGCCTCGGTACCAATGTGAAGCCACACCTCCCAGGCAGTACACCAACAGGATTTTCCCTTTGTTTTGTCACTTGTCCCATCAGGACCCAGTAATGATGACCGATGAACATTGAGGATTTCTGTGAAGGCCTTGAGAGCTGCCAGGGAAACTTCATTATTACGATTGAGGGCAGCAGCCTCAATGTACTCAAGCAAGAGAGCCCAGGCCCTGGGGAAGTCTCCGATCTGTTGGAGGGTGGGTCGCTTGGTGTTGAAGACACGGGAGACACCTGAGAGAGCAAGGACCTGTGTCTCTGCCCACTGCTTCTGGGCAGTGTTTCTTGAGTGATGAATCAGCAACTTCCCTGAGGTTTCCATCTTCTCACTGCTTGCCACCCCTGAACGAGTCCTCACATTCTCCAGGAGAGGGAACAGGACCTGATTACAAAAAATATTGTTACTTTGCAGGTAAGTAAAATCTTTGCAACCTAGAGTGCTACATAAGAGATGCAGACCTCCCAAAGAACAGCTTGCCATGTGGATTGTTGCAGAAGTCCTCCATGTGCAGAAATGGTTGAGAACAGGGTCTGGCCAGCAGATTTGCGAACAGCAGGCCTTGAATCCACACAAAGCTCACCTGGATCATGAAACAGATTCTTAATGGGAGGTCTCATATTCAATTTCTAAAATAACAGTGTTAAAGGACCTAAGAACATAGGTGCAAGGTGCTACCATACAAACAATTAAAGCATAATGACAAATTGGCTAACCCAGCTGTGTATAGACACACATCCACAGCTTGTCAAAGGGAGGCATATTGGGAACACCAGGGAATTCAGGAAACACCTTCCCATCAGATGCCAAAGAATCTCTCAGCTTCTCTTGATTTTGGAAGAAGTAATCTGAGATATTCCACTGCAAGAAGAACAATCATCAAAACATGTTGCTATGAGGATTGAAGAAGATAAGTTGGGGTAGATTAATCACCATGAGGCCAATTGCAGTAAGAGAAATGTTGAGCTCTTGGGTCTGACGGCCAAAGCAAGCTGCTGTCTCTACGGTGAGAGGGAGGCAGAAGTGGGGCATGGCTGGGAGGAAATCTGTCACCACTAGCTGAAGGCACTGGAAGGCCAGCCTCACCAACTGCTCACTGTGTAATTTATTCACATCCTCATAAATGCATGACATCAGATGAGAAGTCTGAGAGAAAATGATGAATTTAGAAGCAAACCTGTGAGTTTCATGAACTGATCCTATGATAGACAGGATGGTAGGCCAGGCGAAAATGAGGGACTCCCCCGAAGCATGAAGAATGTGCAACAGTGATTCAAGTTGCTTTTGTCTTACATCAGGGTGTGGGTAAGAGGATAGCTCTTGTAGTGGGCTCAGCAACATGCCTTGCAGCTTCTGCAATTGCATCCATTGCATTGCATTCACTTCTCAACTAGGACCTCTTTTCTCAAAAACATGGACAAAATCATGCCAGACCTGGTTCTCCTTTAGAGGGGGTTTGTAGGGATGCTGGATGGCTTTTTGGACAAGACATGTGATTGCCTCCACACCCCACTCTCTAAGCTTCGTCTGTGGATGCTGACACACTTCCAAGAGGTGAGAGGTTAGAGGTCGCCACAAGCTCTCAACTCGGCCCAGGTTCACTACACCTGTCTCTAGGAGTTTGGCAACAGCAAACAGTGAAGGGTCCTATGGGAAAAAGAAGAACATGGAATAACTGTGAAAAATAAATGGCGATTCTACTGCAGCAGAACACAAACCCGATTAGTGAGAGCCATGTCCATAGACTCTTGAGACAGCTTGCACAAGGCATCAATCAAGTGATGAAGAGCAACCTCATCAAGGTCCTTGCTGGTTTCAAATAGACGGCTCAACATGGCTGACAGGATGGGGAGATCAGCCATGACTGCTGTCGTGATGACAGCATTTCCGTCAGATGCTGCCGTGCCTCTTGAGGCTTTCAGGCTTCCACCAGTAGATGGTTTCAGGCCCAGGATCCATACCAGATGCTTTAGAGGAAGAATATCATCAGGCAAGATTTCAAAACTTTTCAAGATGACATCATGATGGCAAAATGTTTTACCTGAAGCGTGGCAAGGATGATGTGCCACCCTGTTCCAAGCACATCCCCATGACAATGAGCAACACTCAGGATGGCTCTCATACATTGCAAGTTCTTTGAAGTAAGCATCACAGGACCCTGGTGAGCTCCTGTCAATAAGATGTATCCCAGATGGCTTCTACCAAGAATCACAAGCAAGAAAATTGCAGCAAGGCATACCTAGTATCAGAGAGGCAGTTGGCAGGGGAGGTCCCACAGCTACAACCTGATGTCGGAGCTCATTCTCTCCCCCTGCCATGCTGTTATTCCCAAGACCACTATCTTGACCACCACTTCCATGTCTCTGCAAAGCTACAATGATCCAATGTATCAAGTGTTTCTATACCCAAATGCTCTATGGAAAAACCTCCACAGTACAGGGCACATAATATGCCTTGCATGAAATTCATCAATCACCTCGATGTCCACTGATAGATCCCATGTGCATGCCCGGCATCTGGGTATTTAGGACGGAGAGGAGGTAGTGGGGAGGCAGGGATGCACGACAGATGGCGATCAGGTAGGCATCACGTGCCTGATTCACACCCAACTTTCCACAAAGGCTTCCATATGATTCCAGGGCTTTCAGAAGATTCTCAGTCACTGACTCTTCAGTGCTAAAGGAACAAGAATGATATCATTTCTCAAACTGGGCTTCTTGTATAACTTGTGAAAAAAAAGCATGTCACTGTTAAAAAAAACCTAGCCAAGAAGAATGGCGTGTTTTATATCTCAGACACTTCATCAAGCTTTCAATGGATAATGGATACAGTGGATCAAAGTATCAAGAAATTGTATCAAGCATGGGATTTTTAGACATTTTTATCCCTCACAATGATTGCTGATATTACAGTGGATCAAAATTCTCCACATGCTTTTTAAGCACTTGAAGAGTAGTCATAAATCAAGCAGTAACACTTCTAAAGAACTTACCTGGCTTCGAGAAGTAATGTGAGCGCAGACAGGAGGCCACACCATGTGGAATTGAGAAGTGCTGTACACATATCCTTGCGTTCCTCTCTCGCTTCATCCTTTGGCACCTTTGCTTCAGGTGCTTCGTCTAGTTTCCCAGGAGAGGACTGAGGGACTTTGCTCTCGCCTTGAATGATTAGCCCAAGAGATCTCACTGTGTCCAGGACACACTGGTATGCTAGGGTCACACCATAACCTTCAGGGATAGAGGGTGGCTCTGCCTTGTCCAACATCTCCAAGCTGATCAAAATACAAAATAGTGCCAACTCAAATTTTCAGTCACATGGACACTAACTGCTTCACCAAAATTAAAAGAACCATCACCAGTTCACATTTTAAATAATCAGGCTTCATCAGCATTGCTGACTTCCAAGCATGATAATTCTCATGTCTCTTCATTCTGTAATTGAATGAAGCCGATTCATGTGTTCTTCCAGTTTATCGCAAATCAGTCAAACTTCTTATTATGACCACAGGAATCTTTAAGGAACATTCTGAAAAACTGAAAAAGTAAATTAATAGAGAGAACATGAGAAAATGTTTGCTCTGGGCAGGAAAAAAACCAACATGCAGTCTGGCATCAACTTGACAATACTAACCCAATATTGCATAATGTGAATTCAAAGCAACATATCAATTTTCATGCCATGTAGTCTCAACAGACCATGTCTGTATCTGGCAATGCATGACCTTGATAGGAAGCAGCAAGCACCACATGCCATTATTCAGACAGGCAGTTAGCAGATTGTAGAACAGGTGGTGCTTCATATTTTCTATTATGGCTGCCTTTAACTTTTCTAAAATATTTTTATTATCAATTTATGTAATGAAAGGTATGCTGAGTGGAGAAAAAACAAACTCACTAAATAGATTTGGCTTGACCAGCTGTCCAAGAGGAAGTGATGGGTAACCAGATGCCACGAAAGCAGAATGCAGGTTGGGGGCTGATCCCAGGTCCTATGGGAAGTCCTCCAATCATCCCTGCTCCCTGATTCAAATTTTGCACTCCCTGGGCCATTGTTGGTGAAGCCTGGGAACTAACTGCAAATAGAATCATTTCTAAGGTAAGGAATTCATAATATAAACATGTTTTACTTGGATTGTGCAAATTTTCACCTGTAGAGATGATCAGCTGTGGAGCTGCAAAAAGAGACTGAGTGTAGGCACCCAAGGAAGTGAGGATATCCTGACAAATTTTTGTTGCATGAGCCTTCATGTCATATGAGCGACAGAAAGTCTCCAGTAGTTCTGGCTGAATTGTCATTTGGTGAAGCACTTCCAAGGCAAGGGAACGCTGCCAAGGTGGCTTGTCTGGGTCCAAAAACTTGATGATGAGCGAAAGAAAGATTTCACACTGTGTGACCTGCACGGATCGAAAAATTGGCAACTCATTAAGTCAACCAGTAATTTTCATATTTTTAAGTGTGGAATGGGAGAGGTTGACACAAACGCACCAACAGAGAATAATACTTTTGTATGAGGACGGAAACGAGCCGGAGAAGCCGCATGGCAACAGGAAAGTGAGGTTTGTCTGCAGGTCCAGCAGCATGGTGGGAGTGGGATCGGGACTTGATGTTGGGTGAAAAAAGCTTGATCACCAATGCACACACTCTCTCTTTGAGCAAGAAGGCAAACTCTTGATGCTGCAAAGAAATCAGTCATACTGGTACCCAATGGTGTGCAAACAAACTGTTGACCTTTCAGCTATTCATTCACTATCAAATGCATCTTCTCATGTGAAGATCAGCACAGCCTCTCACTGCTGTCACAAAATAATCAAGTTTCTCTCAACTTCAAATTTCTGTGCACAAGGTCCATGCTCAAACCCCATTGCCTCTGTCAATAAATGGCGATATTCTCTTTGTAACCTAATCAAACATTTGTGATCTAATTTGGTGACATCCTTCCATGGTTTATGGTAAAGACAAGTCATTGAATATTATTAAATATAACTTTTAAGTAGAAATGTTATGGTATTTTTTTATATGCTTTTAGGTGAGGTATATTTGTTGATATCCAGGCAGAAGGTGTTGGTTATGGTCAGGTCATTACCAGAACTAAAGTTTATCTAGTCTAAAGTCAAGAACTGAAAACTTGAAATTTTCTGCACTCCTGATTCACTGTGGGTGGCTTCTGCAAACTGACCAATCACACCAGTACTGAATACCAAAATTATTTCAACACCAGTGCATTTTGTGGGATTCCATGAGTGATTCACAAATAAATAAATAAAAAATAAAACTAATAAAGATTCAAAAGCTTTCCAATCCCAGTATACCAGTGACTGCATTTTTCCATGGGAACATCTCTTACAGAAACTTTGTGGAATCTTGAAACTTCCATGAATTTAGAATGCTCTCTCTTTGAGCATGCAATTGAAATATTTCCTTCTCATTTTTCCCACCAATTTATTAGTGCCAGCACCTTTCAAGGGCAATGGTGTTGCCTTAGCAACAAAATCAGAATAAATACAGTGCAGTGACAAGGCCTCTTTGTCATTTCATCAATAAATTACTTTCCTGTCCAATTATATTATTACTTTTCCTGTCCAATTATATTGGGATATGGTGGCTGTATACCATATTATCATTGCACTGATGGCACCCATTTACAGTTTTTTCATTCCTTCTTTTGGCTAGCTCACTCTGTTCCAGAGCCATACCATAAAAAAGATAGAGGGGAAATCTGTAAGCAGAGACTCAATGAGTTCCAGTCCAAAAGTTCTGGTCATTTCTGTGATACCCTGCATCCAGTATGGGGACTCTCCATTCACCAGTTGAACCAGATCCTATCAGACAAACAAAGATCCTTTCATATCATCAGATACTATATCAAAGAACCTGCTGACATAATGCATCAAGAGGTTTGAAATCCACTGAAGCCCAATAGCAAATGACTTTAAATTAATTTATGTTAGACACCTTTACATCACATGAACATCCACTTCTCAGGCTCCAATGAATTTTGAACCTAAAATCAAACCAGTTTCAGGTACCTGGAACATCACATAGGCATCAGCTGCAGCAGGCAGCAGACCAGTGGGAGGGTGACCTGAAGGAGATTTCAATTCTTCCATGTCAATCTCACTATCACCATCAAGGCTTTCTTCATCCTTGGGGTTTTCTTTCACATTTTCTTGATCCTCAGCAACAACCCGTTCAAAAACATGTGACATAACCTGTCGCACTGTTGCAGCTGCTGTGTTATTTGTAGTAGCATCCTTGGTGAAATGGAGACGGAAGCAGAGCACAAGGCACTAAAAAGAAGGAAATTTTAATGAAGAAAAATTCATAAACCTACTTGCCAAATCTATGCAAAAATACTTTCAGGGCATGAAGTGATGACAAAAGGATAGAAAGCAAAAATCACCTTGGCTAAGGTTTCCTTCTGAACAGCAGGACTGCTTGTCACCAAGAGGGTTATTGTTTGCAGGACCTTTAGGTCCTCCAGACCTGCTTCCATCAAAAGCCATAAACAGTCAATCAGATGCTGAGCTCCCTTGTAGTCTATCCCCTGCCAAAAAAAGTAGCAACAATTAGATCAATAAATCCAAAGCATTTTAAAGAGGGAAATCAAGTCAGACCTACCTTGGCCAGAATAATCTTCTGCATGGTAGAAATGCAAATACGAATAACTTTTGGGTCCTTTGTCTCGCATCCTTGCACAAGAGGGTATAGGAGCTGGCTGGCAATACTTGGTAGGGGACTCTTCCCCAGTGCCCAATTCCTAAGTGTCACCACTGCTTCCTCTGACCCCTGGAAAAAAAAACAATCACCTTCAAGTTTCTGTAAACAACCTATAATTAAACTAAGGGGAAAGAGTACACACCTCTCGAATGTGGGAATACTTCCGCTTTGTTTCCAGGGACAGGTTCTTGAGGTCAGTCTGAATTCCCTCAAGTACCTTGTCGGCTGCAGTGGAGCCCATGTTTGCTTCAACAGCTGACTAAATCAAGGATCAGCTCAATTCATCCTTGCATGACTGATGAAGAGCAAGAAATCTGCTTAGTTGCAGTCACCAAATCACCTTCATACCTATGCAGGCTATATGAAGATTATTTAAGTAACAAATCGATTTTAAAAGTAAGTCAAGGACAAAGGAAAACATAACTGTTACAATGCACAACACTTAACTGTGCTTGTAAACTTTTACAGATCTAATACCTGTTGTCTGGAGTATGCACTTCTGCAAGACTTTGAGGAAGGCCTCAAGTCTCCAGTGAGAAAATATAGCTGCTGAAACTCATAGTACACCTTTCTATTAGCATGAAGCCAATTTTAGCATCACCAAACAAGTTGAACCTTGAAAGCAAACTAGAACTCTAGACTTTAAGGATAAGGCATTCAAATTCTTCCTTGAAAGACTCATTAACACTCAAAAGTGTGTACTCTGAAAATCCAGATGTGTCATTCTGGTTCTCCATTCATAATTTTCTGACAAGGCTAATGATGAAGCACCTAAGTTATAGATAAGGCAAAGGTACAGTTGTTAAAATATTCATCTGTTAAAAAGCTAGTACATTATACTTGAAATGCTGTCAAGTTTGTATCCACTTTTTTCATCAAAAGAAGTTATATACAGCTCATAATAACACCTCTTCATTCAATGAATCATCCATAATGGTCCAACAAATGTAGCTTCCTGTATTCCAGCATCATGTCCCAGCACTGGAAGTAACTACAAAGATATGCATGCTGTATAGTACCTCGTCCAAGACCAGGCTGGAAGGTATGCAAGACTCTGTAAAACTATATGTTTCTGATATTTTGCAATGTAACTGTCTCATTCAGTCTTCATGAACATTCCAAAAGATAGTGCCTACACAGGGTATCACCAGCTGACACAGCTCCACAATGACCAATCAACCAGTTATACAATAACTGCTTGAAAGTCTTCACAGTGAGAAAGTCTATATGAGAACAGAAAGATCACACTATGATTCTTCTCCATGTAGATTGAAGAGCTTAGCAACTTCTGACAAATCTTCATACTTCTTGCCATCCTTGAGAATTTTCCTTGCTATTGGCATCTTGTTAAAGACATTCCAGAGCAAAATGCCAACAACAATGTCATTTCGAAGATAGAAGATCACACCCTTTCCATAATCCTCTCCTGGCTGTGGTGGCTTAAGGGTTAATACATCAGGGGTTGATGTAGCAACTGTTGCACCAGTTGCAAATGGTAAATCACTAGCTGCAACTATTTCTGTCTCCGTGACAGAGCGAAGACTTTCTCCAGTTGCCTCAACAACAGCCTTTGGAGAGTCCTGGGAAGTGGACTTTGCAAAGATCCCAACAGTTGGAAGGGATGAATCAACAATGCCTATGGCCTCATATCCAACCTCTGGGCCAAGATCTGACCAGAACATAGACTGATGCCAATATGGCTTATGGGCTCCTGTCATGTTTTCACCCACAAGACGACCAGATACAACTGCGTGGTCGTGGTGCTCCACTCTTCGTCTGCCAAGCTTGATGTCATAGAAGCATGAAGCATCCCCTGCCACCCACAAGTTGGAACGTGCCTCAAGTTCGGCATTGACTCTATAGCCACCATGACTTTCATCTATTTCAAGACCTGATGTTGCTGCCAATTCTGTGTTTGGCTCCAAACCGACTGCAATGATCACAAAATCAGTTTGGTGTTCTGAACCATCACTCAGCTTCAGAACAACTTTCTTCTTCTCCATTTTTGCACTCTCAACAGAAATATTGGGCATGACAGTCACTCCCTCTGCAGATACCTTTTTGGTAGCCCATTCACAGAGATACTCTGGTAATACTTTTCCCATGTTTCCCTTTTCTGGGAAGATTTGTGTTACCTGAACCTTAGTCTTCTCCCCTTTCTTCCCAAGAGCACAGGCCAGCTCAGACCCCAGGAATCCACCACCTATGATGGTCAATGATTTGACTTTCTTCATCACAGCATCTAGGTACCTGAAGTCTGCCACATTGCGGAAGGTCATGAATCGTCTCTTGACATCATCAGGTGCTACCGCAAAAGGCTTTAGAACTTTGGGAGTACCGCCAGTAGCAATGAGACATTTGTCATACTCAATTTCAACTCCATTACTCAGATATGCTTTGCGCTTGTGAACGTCAAGCTTCACAACTTTCAATCCTCTGGCAAGAGCAACACCTCCATTATCTTTAGACATCAGTTCCTCTGCTCGACAAAAGAATTCTGGCTGCTCAAAGAAGACACTTCTCTCCTTTCCATTCCATTGCTTGAATCGCAAGTGTTTCCCTACGTCAAGATCATCACTATACCAAAGTTCCTTGGACAAAGGTGGTCTCATGTAAGGATATTCAGTCTCCTCAGACACCACCAAGACTTTTGCCTTAGCATCATTTGACTTGATGGCTCGAAATGCTGCAAAAGAAGCAGTGCCACCACCAATCAAAAGATAAGGCACTTTGGAAGGCAATTCATATTCTCGAGGTGGTTCGAGTGTTGGACGAGAAGGTATCCCATCATCAGGTGGTTTAGATTTCCTGCTTGCTTTGTCTGACTTCTTGGACGTCATAAAATCAAAGAGGCCCATTTTGTAAGAAGCAAATGCAGCCCCTGCTCCAAGCAAGAGGCCTGCAATGACTTTGTAATTTCGATCTTTCTCATCTTGATTGCTTCCTGAACTGTATGTGCGAAATGCATTTTGAGATAGGGGAGAGTTGACAGAATTTACCCTAATCCACACCTGAGAGTTATAAGTACTGATGTCCTTCTGGAGAAATACCCATTTATAGCACCCAACACGTCTTACGTTTTTCAACATCTTGATGCGTGTTCAACTTATAGTCAGTCTTCAAGCACGGATTGTTCCTTCCAAATCAACTAGGGCAGGTAGTTGTGAGCCAAGCTCCTTGGATAAGGAATAGTTGCATTTTTTTTCCTGTGCAACCTATGGAATAATTTTTTCAGAGTTACCTGAAAAATCCAATGTATTGGCCCTGACAAAGACTGGCATCAGAAAATCAATCATTCTGAGCCTCAACTTAATTTCCTACCATAGGAAACTTATGATACACAGACTACCAATTGCAGCAAAGAAATTTAGGCCTATATGAATTGACACTTGGAAAAATCTAGAATCTATCATGGATTGTCACTGATCAGATTTTAGGAATGAAGAAAGGGACAATGAGAATTTTATCAACAAGAAGAATTAGAAGAATGATCCAAGTTCACTAAAATTTGTGGGTAATGAATCCAACACATACAAAGATCAAGTATCTGATACTTTATTTGACAATAACCTTCCCATCTGGAAATGCTTATGGCTTAATCTTAGGATAGCTCTCTACAAATCTGGGGTAACCCCAAGGACTTTGAAATAGTTTTAACTGATTGACTTGGAATTATAGAACTCTTCAGTACTTAGCTGCAGCAACTAATTTCAAACATATGGAACTGTTCCATATGTTTGAATATGTAGTGCTTAATATCTCTAATGGTGCATAGTTTTCTCCCTTGAGGTAAACATTAGTGAAATCCATGGTGCTTGAAAATGTACAGAACAATTTAAGAATGCTGTTTGAATGTACCCTTTCATATACACAAATGTAAAAATTTATGTCTAACCCAATGGGTTAAAGGGAGTAAAGTTCTAAACTTTGATATTTTGAAAATATCGGAAGAAACATACAATACGTATTGGAAGACTTCTCTTTGGAATTTAAGTGAAAATCTCTTCAATATTACCTTGAAGCTGTGGTAAAACTATTGTGCAAGCTTCGGTACTTCTGGAGTAGTTATAGATTAGGCCTTGAACTTCAAAGACGCCATGCACACCCTCCTGGTCATCACTGAACTCTTACCTACATATTTCCTGCTCTTGCCCCACCAATGACTCAGATCATTTTGAGGAGCAGGGTGCAAGTAGCAATTTTTTTCCAAAGTCAAAGACCTAAAGTATTACTACCCCTGATGAGCTGAAGTTGGAGCAGTCAAGTCGTAACTCAACATTAAGACAATACATATTGCTTAACAAATTTTTATTTTTCTCTCTCTCTTTCACCTCACGACGACTTACGAGTTGAAATACCTCAATGAGGACATGGTTGGCTCCATTAATATTGACTGGGCCTAGCTACAGTCTTCACAAGCGTTACCTCACATTCTGGAACTCACCCTTTCCTAAACATATCAACTTCACCTCTAACATTCCCAAGCCAATGTGAGATTCTTCTACTTTCCACAAATACATAACTTAAAAGTCGATCAAAAGAAAACCGGTCCGATCCCAAAAGTAAAGAGTAAAATTCCACGTAATACTTCAGGACCTTACGCGTAAGCCTATAATTAAGCCTAAAATATATTCACAGGCCTATATATAAGTCCAGGGACTCGTGCAAAATCTCTGATGACGGACAGTATCCCGAAACAGAAAGTTGCGAAGCAACTAATTGCCCAAACATGACTCTTCCCTGCCGAGCACACGAAGCATCCATGAACGGCATCTCCGATCCGGGCTCGGCGCCGGCCGGCAAAGGTCAGACGTGCAAAATCCAGAGATTTCTTTTCTCTGCGAGCTGAATATTTCGAGTTAGATTGGATGTTTGGGGGTACTCCTAATTTCGTAAGAGGGAGGCAGGTCCTGCCAGCCGGGCTGCTGCAACGGAGTTCCCGACACCAGAATGAATCGAGGATGGGAGCTTCCGAAACACGAATAGAAACGGTGATTGCGTGAATGACGAAACAGATATAATCCGTTTACTCGGAACTCTTTCCAGAGACACGTGGCATTCCGACGGCTGCATCCTTTCCCCGTGCGAGCGGGAGACGCGAGGGCTTCGCAGAACGACGTGGAGGCAGTCGCGCCTGGTGTGGCCAGGGTTTCTTAATTAGTATGCATGTTCTGGTGGCCAAAGCATGTGCTCCGTGTTAGTGCCAGGAGGCTCTCGAATGCACCAGTCTTTGAATGTTTTTTTTGCAGCAACTTCCATGTAGTGTTCTGATGCCAAATGACTGGCAAAACAATGAAGCTTAATTTATTATATAGATATACTGTATATGCTATTGCGATAAGAAAATCTTCATTTGGCAGATAATTTCATTTAAAAAAAAAAAACGAAATCGAGAGAAAGGGAGTTTGGAGAAATTTTTATATCTCGTCCGAATGCCGATTTACAATTGATTGACGTCCCAATTGCTCCAAGGCCAAACTCCAATCTCATTTGTCTTTCAAATTCCACAGGATTTTGTGCAACGAAGTGGAACAGCCCAGAGTTTTTTTTTTGCTAAGGGTAAAGAGGAATCCACTTCGTTGCCTAAAAAGAACATATAATAAGTCATAATTATCTGGAAAATGAACGCATTTTAAAATGAATATATATATATATATACTTAAAACTGACATTTATTTTTCAATAAATCGAACTCCAACGTAGTTTCATTCTGTGTAATAACAGGGAACTTATAGCTGTGAAGTTCGATTGTGCCGCTTTAAAAAAAAAAATGCAGTGGAAACTCGTCAAGTGGAACTTCGAGTTGTCCTGAATCAAGGATCCGATTTCACGGCGGGCTTATTATCATTGGCTTTTATTCTTCTGCACAGAAACTGCGATATGTGCAAGATTTATCGGTACTCGAAGTGTGGTTCGAGATACCCGGAAATTCGACTCAAGGAGTTTCCGCTGTATCCAATTCTGCTTTCTCATATGATGAGTGGATTGCATCAGATTCCGTGAAGCAAGGGACAATGAAGAGGCGTTTATTTATTGCTCAAGAGAAGGGAGGCGTTGAAAAAATACCTGGAAACCATGTGAGTGCAAAAAAAAAAAGAAACATGCCTCACGTAAGAATAGCAGAATATTTCAGTGATTTAAATGACCAGACCAGGAAAAAACACTTCAGATGGAATTGAAGGGGCTTTCATGGGGTGATTAGTTATACAGGGTGCGTAAGAAGTTCTGTTACAAACTTTGGACTCACATAGAATGTCTCCCGGGTAGAATCTTTTACAAGCCTATGGGCGTGTGACTTGTATAGCTTTCCGCCCTCGATTGAAGGCTTGCATTTCCAAACGTGGCGGACATTTTGAGTAGCTATGGTTCCTAACATTGACTGACACTTTGTACTAAATAAATTATCACTTGAAGTTGTCGTTCTTGTTGCTTTGGTTGTTTTTGGCAAAGAAACGTTTGTAACAGAACTTCTTACGCACCCTGTACAATGAGACTGTGGAGAGGGAGCTTCATGATGGGGATCACCCTGTACAATACATGAAAACTCTTGCAGACTTCTGAACGGATGAGTCTGTCGGACCCCCTCACTAAGTGTTATTTCTTGGAGCCTCTCCCTTCTTTGAAGCGTCTTCATGCACCATTGGTATTTGTCATACAAGCCTGTTGTTATGAAGCCTGGAACTTTGTCAGTCTGCTTATATTTCTGCAGCTGTCCCACAGGCTTTCCACAAGACCAAAACACTCACTTCTCTCTGTTAAGATTGTTGAAATCACAAATGGTACATGTCAATCAACAGGAATCTGTTTTTATTGCCAGATTTTCATACATGACTCAAAGAAGCGAATGCATGGAAAAAAAAGAGGAAACAGAGGCAAGTTGGAACTTAGAAGGCATGAGAAGATAGCAGAAAAAATCTCAATATTTTGGATAGTGTACTATCATACAAATTGAACCAAAAATCAACATAAATTAATGCCATAGTTCATAATCTGTTTTAGATAACAGCGAAATAGAAGTTTCCCTTGGCCACACTCTCTCATATGTCTTACTTAGTTGGAATGACAACTCTCATCTGTTTTCGCTTGGATGTGTAGCTGTAACAATCCAAGCAGAATGTAATCGTTGCAGTTATTGGAAAATCAAAATGCGAGAAGCATTCCATCACAGGGCACAGGCAGCACAAGAGTCCACCAGCTACTACTGACTCTTGAGCTCTTTGCCGATGCTGTACGAGACGATCTTGTTCCAGTCTATTTTGGTGCGGGTGACAGGAAGCTGACGTCGGAGGGCCTTGAACGTCGTCTCCGACATGGTCTGGTAGTTCTCCGAGATCCCCGTCTGATACTCGTTCTCTGCATCTTCCACCAGCTTCACAAACTCCCTTGCAGTCTGGGTCTCATTCTGCAATAGTCACATATTCATCTGTGAAGTCTTGTTCAGGAATCAGAATTCACACAAACAATGTAGTACAGTACACCAAATCTCACAGAAACAACAAGGCTGTCTTTGATTTCTTTGGAGGAGACAAGCTGGACGTTCCCATCCTCGTAGTAGTGGACTTGCACACGCACGAGCCCCACAAGTTCCACGGCGTCATTTCCAGAGCCAGGAGTGAAGCTTACAGTCCAGACTGATCGCCATCTACCATTCCTGCAAGATTACAGGTTTTTTCTTCTCAACACTCCAAAGGATGAGAAGTCCAAGAAATGCTGCTTTACTATACCAGTAATTCTTGGGCTGGAATTGATGATCCTCTATGCATGCAGTGAGAGAAAGCAATGGTCCCTGACTTTTCCCAAAAACACTACAGACACCATTTTTGTAATGGTCCTGGACATAAGCTGTGAATTGCTCTTCAAGAGAAGATCTCCAACTCTCCACTTTTGGATCAGGACTCCAATTCTGCATTGGAATTTAAAAAAAAAAGAAGGAAATAAGATAATGAGCTCAAAGGTAACTTGTGCATCACCAGAATTTTTATGGGGTCATTGTTTCCAATAAGGCAAACCTGGAATTCAGAGGCTTCTTTGCGAAGATGATCATAGCGGAAGCTCTGCTTGGACCGGGGATCAAAGAACCTTCCACCACCAAGGTCATTGTGTTCTGTAATTAGGGCATCCCGATCTGAATCCTCCACCTTGACTGGGATCAACTGATCTCGATTGTATTCTGCTACGGCCCTGCCAAGCCAAAGAGAGTGACAATTTTCAAAGCATCATCCTGGGCACACCTAATATTCAGCAATCAAGCTCTCTGAAATCTAATATTTTGGAATTACTGACCTACAACAAATAGGAAAATACATTCTAGCTCTGGTAGGCAAAGCCTAAAACTTGCTGGAAAAAATATCGTAGACTAGGAATTCAAATAAAATAGAAGAAAAAAACACTTACGATGAGGCACCTTCTTTTAGCAAGGCATCATTGTTGAGGAGTATCCGAACATCTGGAAAAAAAAACAGAAATGATTGGGTAACTCATCAATTAAATCAAACCTCACCCTTCTTATGTTTCACACAGGGATGTCTGACTTTAGTGTCAGGTGACATAATGGCTAAGATAACCAAGACAGGACATTGTAAAGGATTTATTCTAGATACACTGCTGGCTGAGATCCAGTGAGATATCCTGCAATTTTTTTAACACTGTGTAATATTTAAACAAGGGATTCCAAACAAAGCATAAGGAATGCATGAAAACCACAGTTACCAGTACAGACTAACTACAAAACTTATTGCACTGTTAATCTTTTGATCAACATACTCAATGTTTGATATAGTTACACTTTCTACATTATCTACTTTGCAAAAATGCCCAATAATTATACAAAAAAGAATACCAGACAATTTCAAAATGGACACATGGTTTTAAAAAATTTGCCTGAGTTACACAAATAAATGTTGTAGTTCATCAATTTCAGTTCAATATTTTCACTGGAGTCAGACATATTTCTTCTTGATCTGGACATCCATGTATTCGCAAAGTTCCATTGTATGGGGATCTGAGTCAAGTAAAAAAACCTAGCACAGGTAAGCCAAATGCTGAAAAATTACAGATTTATCTGTCACTCTCATCCTTGAATAAAATGTCTAAATATCAATCTGGCAACAAATGTTATTTCTATCCCTCTTCTGGGCTGAATGGCAAAAGAAAGCAACAAAAATCAGACTGTGTGATTGAGGAAAATAGGTTCATAGGAAATGGAAAAGCTCTTTCAGTGGGCAGATTTTACATAGACTCACCATTAAAAACTTCATTGAATTCTCCAGGAGGAGAGTGGAGGATGAAATCAGAAACAATCCTGACCTGAAAAATATAAATGAAGTTTTACATTGGCCTAACATTCGATTATTTCATTTCACTCCATCTTTACTTTCAAAACAAACCATAACAATGCAAAACTTTGTAAAGCTGTAAAGCAGACAACGGGAAATGAGGTAGACATTTATTACGGAACATTATAACTTATCACTCGATAAGGTAATCACTTTCCATGTACGCCCGTGGCTTTCACTCAAGTCAGACAGTTTTTCACTTGTCTCAGACGTCTGTGCATGGAATGTTCCGCATGCACGCGCGTCTCAGCCAAGCGGAAAATTATCCAACTCAAGTGAAAAACATGCCACGGAGTTTATAAAAATTCAGGAAACTGCTCCAAGTCCCTTCGAGCTAAAGCAAGTCCTTCATTGACATCCAAACCCGGTATCGGACGCGAGATCTTCACGGAAGGAAGGTCGAATCCAATGCTAGGCGTGACTTTTGGGTTTGGAATATTAACCATTTATAAAGTAAGTAATTTCAAGGAGAGCATAACCTGCGGTATTGCTACGTTTTTAACATAAACAAAATCCAAACCACACTCAATGTGAAACAAATAACAAATACCGGGTATCTTAAAACTTATACCTTGTCCTGGTCGGAGATGGGCTCGTCGTCGGTCGCCATGTTCACTTCACAACTCGAGCAGTGATGCCACCAGATTCATAGCTATCGACTCTTGAGTCAGGAGTCAGGAGAGTTAGTGATATCAAGAGGCGATTTCGCCCATTTCGATATCACGTGTCGAGGTCGAGCGTTCCTTAATTTT